ACAAATTTCTCTCCTGCAACGATCACGTGCACAGTGTATGTAATAAAGAAAACAAGTTAAAATACATCTAAATTAAATTTGTAGCCTCACTGTCAAGAACTTAACATATGTGACTGTTGATAGAGGAGGGTCGAATACGTTAAATTAAGTAACTTTGAAGATGGAAATCAACAAGTTGCAGTAACACGGTATTTATTAAAACTATGTTTTGACATTGTTTGGCATTATGTAGGTAGTGTAATGACACCAAAAACTGATCACTATGGGAACAGTTATGTAACAGCCCTTTCTAACATAAATTATTCATACACTCAGATTACAGATAATGTGATCAGATTGGGAATTTACAACTTGCAAAATGAGTGGCATTGGAAAACAAAGGAGGAATATGGATCGAATTGGGGTACTAAGTATCCAGACCTGCAACTAATCTTTTAACAGGTGAGAATCCATGAACATAAAGATCAGTGACAATAGCTCTTCATGTGTTCCATGCAAAGTAATCCAGAAATACCTCTATTTGTAAATAGAGTCAAGAAGAACGTGTGGGTTCACCAAAATAAAACTCTGTTCAACAGTCACATATCTCAAGTAGTTGGAGATTGAAAACAAGTATTTCTTGTTCCACAAGAAGACATATCAGTCAACTTACTAGATGCAGCATGTGTGATAAGACTATTGAAACAGAAGCTGGGAAAACATTGTCATTGTACTTTAGATGGATTATGGAAAGAATTCAAGAAGCAGTGGTGTGGCTTGGATGTGTAAATTTTATGAAGGAGCCTTCTGCAAGGATACTGTGATATACCAGGCAATACAAGTCACTCACGTGAAAATAGTAAAAAGTAAAAAAAAGCATTCAGCTTGGAAATGTAAGTATTTACTTTCTCTGTTCCATTTTAGGGTTAATCATTTAAAATTCTACATGCGTTACTTTCAATGAATGGATTAATGAATTCATAAACTTCTTAACTCAAATTGTTTTAATTAATGTAGTACAAATGCTTATAATTCCATAAGTATAATTATAAAAAAATTACTTTGAACCTTGAATGCTATAGAAAAGAAAACTGTCAAAACTAACAGAAACCCCAAAAATACAAGTTTATGAAATCCACACACTTCACAACTATGTTATTAGTTATGCACTACGTTTTTCAGAAAAAGCAATATTTCAATTTAGGCTTAACTGTAAATTTTATATTTAGATGTTTACATTTTAAATAACAAAAAATATTTATGTTTTTATTTTTGAATAAAAAATGGTAAATGTGTCATCAACAAAGCAAATTAAAACTATAAGCAAGACATTTATCAAAAACATTGTTTTTTTATGGTACTACAAACACAAACTTCCCAGAATTTTGAACCTATGCAACTATCACATCACATGATAAAAGACTAGTTACCATAATATTAGTGGTTTATTCATCCAATACTAATTTGTTATTGTTTCCTTAATGTTGTATTATAAGAATTTCACAATACCATGCACTATACCTTGTAGGTGTAATTATGTGCAATAATGAATTACATAAGAAATATGTAAACCTTCTTGCTATTGAAGAAAAATTATTTTATACTTTCAGTCTGTAATAATAACACTTATTTGTAGCATTTTTATAAACAGAATGCAGATGAAGCTTGTATATTTCTTTTATATGATGCTAACAGATAACGTTTAGAACACTGTCACATGGTTGAACCTTGTATCTTTCTTTTATAAGATGCTAATGGATAACATTCAGACTACTTTCACATGGATGAATCTCCAATGTTTCTTTTATGAGATGCTAATGGATAACATTCAGACTACTTTCATATGGATGAATCTCCAATGTTTCTTTTATGAGATGCTAATGGATAACATTTAGAGCACTGTCACATGGATGAATCTCCAATGTTTCTTTTATAAGATGCTAATGGATAACATTTAGAGCACTGTCACATGGATGAATCTCCAATGTTTCTTTTATGAGATGCTAATAGATAACATTTAGAGCACTGTCACATGGATGAATCTCCAATGTTTCTTTTATAAGATGCTAATGGATAACATTTAGAGCACTGTCACATGGATGAATCTTGTATTTCTTTTATGAGATGCTAATAGAGGTCATATCTTTCTTTTATAAGATAACAGATAACATTTTGAATGCCATCACAAGAAAGCTATCAAAAAGCCATCACAAGGGTTATGTTATTTTTCGATGTCTTATTTAGCTAAATGCACTATTTCATAAATACAATTTGATATATATTACAGACCTGCAGTTCTAATTTCAATGGGTATTAAACAACTACAAGTAAGAAGTTGGACTCTACATTATCAAATCAACTATTAGAAATGGGGTGTTCAGCAACTCTACATTAAATCAACTATTAGAAATGGGGTGTTCAGCAACTCTACATTATCAAATCAACTATTAGAAATGGGGTGTTCAGCAACTCTACATTATCAAATAACTATTAGAAATGGGGTGTTCAGCAACTCTACATTATCAAATCAACTATTAGAAATGGGGTGTTCAGCAGCTCTACACTATCAAATCAACTATTAGAAATGGGATGTTCAGCAACTCTACACTATCAAATCAACTATTAGAAATGGGATGTTCAGCAACTCTACACTATCAAATCAACTATTAGAAATGGGATGTTCAGCAACTCTACACTATCAAATCAACTATTAGAAATGGGGTGTTCAGCAGCTCTACACTATCAAATCAACTATTAGAAATGGGATGTTCAGCAACTCTACACTATCAAATCAACTATTAGAA